AGAGGGGGGGGATATGGGGATGTATGTATACGTATAGCTGATTCACTTTGTTATACAGCAGAAACTAACACACCATTGCAAAGCAATTATACTCCAATAACGATGTTAAAAAAAAAAAAAAGACTCCGTGCTTCCAATTTAGGGGGTGCGGGTTCAACCCTGGTCAGGGAACTAACATCCCACATGCCGCGTGGCGTGGCCCCTCCCGAAAAAATAAATAAATAAAATTAAATGGGAACTTTATTAAAAAAAAAAGAATGAGCGCCCACCTTTCTACAGAATTGCATCTCAATTAAAATAAATAAGATTAAGTGGTTTATCGAGGCAATATATGCGATTGAGTCTACAGTTCTCACCCAGCTACTCAAAACAGCTAGCTGCCCCCCACTACACAAAGGCTGAAGACTGAATGATAAACAGAAAATGATAAATAGCTTTCAGATACCACTAAAGATCATGAAATTGTATATGCATTACCTCAGAAAGTTCCTCAAGCTGTAAAGAAACACTGCACAAAATGTTTGCCATTTTGTATAAAACCAATGACATTTGTCACTTCTATTTGGCTTCTGGAAAATTCTGTACATTTGGGCAACCAACTTTACTCTTCTGAAGTTCAATCTCTTTGTCCGAAAATAGGAATGCATATGTCCCCAGCTTTCCTAACATAAAGTATATGAAAGTGCATTGTACATCGTGGTATAATATGTTATTCATGTTTAAAGATGCCTAAAAATAATAACTAACATTTGCTGAGAGCTTACTGTGTTCTAGGCACGATGTTAAGTGATTTATATGCATTGTTTAATTCTCACAACCCTATTTCAGATTTCTGAAAGGAGGGCAAACATGGAACAGCAAACCCTTAGTGCATCTACAGTGCTGCAGGAAGGGACAGAGGACAGGAGCCTGTAGACTGTTAGGGGAAAAGGTCCTTCCTGTGGTCAAGGGTAGAGCAGGAAACACCTGGGAGGAGACAGAGAAAAATGATGGCGACTGCCAAGGAGAAAAGTGAGCTCCACCTTCTTTGTCTGTTTCGGTCTGTAAGCCATTGTTATGGTAAACATACTAATACAACTCTGAGATTAGAGTGTCTGGGGTATTTAGCCAATACGTGAACAGCTGGGAAGGGAGCCTGGGGACAGTTATGGTGGACATAACCTTGAAACTCCTGTCACCTACAAACTGGCACTTGCCATTGGCACTTGCCATCTACCTCTACAAGGATTAGATCACGAGCCACTGCACCTGCTGACCTTTGACACCCCCTGAAAGGAGTTCAGGTGGAGATCAGGAATGAGGCGCTCTGTGCTCTGGGAAAAACTGGCAGAACGGGTCTTCAGATAATTAGGTATTTTCAGGAAAAGATTTTATGAGCCCAATTCTTGCATCTCCTTGTACCTAGAAAAGCACTAAAATCCTTCATGGTGACGTCTGCTCCTCCTGACTAGCAGAAACCTTCTGCAAAAAATATGTGCTTGATTGCACGTACTCCCCCTTCACCAAAATCACATATAACCTGAGCATCCCCCCACCTCTTTGGAGCAGTTTCTCAGAGCTATCTGAAATGCTGTCTCCCGGGCTATAGTCCTCATTTTGCCCCAAATAAAACTTAACTCACAACTCTCACGTTGTGCATTATTTTTCAGTCGACACTCCTTATTCGGGGAACCAAGCTGTGAGGGGCAGGTGAGCCTGCATGGCATTTGGTCTTATTTTGCCAAGTATGAAGAAAACCAAGATTTTATCCAGTAAAAAAAAGCACCATAGATGCAACCAGGAAGTGTCTGAAATAAAAGGTCTCACACGTCTCTGACTAGACCTTGTCAAGAGTCAAATGAATCCAAATGTGACTGGACTACAGGGGGACAAAGTGACTAAAGACTTGAAACCCACATTTACTGCTCTTCAATTTCTTCACTTCTGTCCTCTGACCCTCTTGAGATCTAGAAGGGGCTCGTTTTCTCATAGGGTAATGGACCCAGTGTGAGGGCCAGCTCTCCAAGTTATCCTTCCCCTGAGGAGAACGGCCTCTGGCTTCTTTTGAAGCTTATGAAAAAGGCCTCTTCACAGGCTTCCCATATAAGTCCCGTCATTTTCTTAACTCTGCCCTAAGACTTGAACTCTCAAGTATATTTATTTGTTCCTTCCCCTCATAAAAACAGTACCCATGGCCTTGGGCTTTGTAAGAATGTACATAATAATAAACACGAGGCACTATAAATAGCACTGCCATTCCAACCGGGTCTCACAGAATTCCCTCCTGACAAGCCTGGCACCGCGGCTGCAGATCCAGGCGTCACTGGATGAGGCTACCAAGGTGATTCCAGAGGTAAGCGTCTCCCACGCAGATTTACAGCAAAACAGCATTAGACATGGTACCAGAAGGCTGCATGACATTTAAAACACTTAGCATTTCAAAGGGCTTAGTTACATAATCATCACCAATTAGGACTTCAATGAAATAAGTGAACTTTCCCTTTACTTCAGCTTAACTGAGAACTGTCTTTTCCCTGCTGACACATTTTCTCTCCGATTAACCAAAGTGCCATGTCATTTTGCCCTTTCAACAGTCTTATGAGATAGGCAGCATTATTCCAATTCTACCAAGGAAAAAAAAGACAGGGGTTAAATATTGTGTTGGCCGAAAAGTTTGTTCGGGTTTTTCTGTACCGTCTTGTGGAAAAACCCGAACAAACTTTGTGGCCAACCCAATAATTTGTCAGCATCACAATGGCTAGTAAAACGGTAAAGCAGGGAAGCAAAAATCAGGATTTCCAAAGGAGTCAGTACTATTCCCATCTGGGGGGCACCTCCTGCACATCTCTCAGATGGCGTTCCCTTCGTTCCTCAACGCCCCCTGCAGCCCTTTCACTCAGCGCCCCTCCTCTGTGCAAATACTTGTCTCCTAGTCACACCATCCTCCCCATTGTCCACGGCAAATGGACAGGCTGCTCCTGTACATTTCTGGGTAATTCTGGCACTTGTCTCACAGCTTTTCTTTATCTTCAGCACTTCCCCATCATCCTGGGAGACTCCACAGTAGCGTGGACGGCCCTTTATAGTATCCTGGTCTCTTTGTTCCTCAGCTCCCCAAGCCCCAAATCCCCATGTCTGTTATTCACTAGGAATCCACCCTTCGCTCCTCCTTAAATCTTGTCCTCCCCGAAAACTGGAAGCCCCTTTGTGATCCAGGCTTGTCCTTCCCTCTTTCCCCACTGCTCCCCTACTTCGGATAAGGTGCTCTAGGCTCACATTCTGATTGCTAGGCCTCAGCAAAAGCCTAGACTGTAGTTTGTTTTAAGTTCATATTCTTCTTAAAATTCATCCTACACATGGAATGGAAGAAAGAAGAACCCATGGCCTGGAGATGGCTGACTGTAGCAAAGAACCGGTTATAGGTCATGGGTGATAAAAGTCAGCTAGAAGGGTAGACGGCTGTGGCCAGGGAACACCAAAGCTTGACACGGTGGTTAACAAAGCAATGGCTCTCTAGTAAACCTCAGGAGCCAGCACCATCCTGAGCTAGTGTGATCAGAAGAGGGAAAGGAGTGGCTTTGTCCACACTTGGAGTGAAGAGAATGGGGAAGGACAGCAGGCTATGAAAGCTATTAACTGATAGCAGGAAGTGATCAACCATGGGATTTGGTCCCCTCTGCACAGGAGTCCAAACGGCTGTGCAGAGCAGAGAGCATGACGACCAGGATCGCCAGGACGCACTGCGCACCACGGGGACACTCAGAGCCTTGGCCGGCCACCGAGCGATGTGCAGTCACGGGGGACCAGGGCTTGGGCTACTTTTTGGATACTGATGGGAAGGGTGCTCTCTGAAGGCTAGAGGATGTGGGTAAAAGATTATGTATAAAGCATCTTTCATCCAATCAGCATCAATATTTGGTATCCTTCTCTGGCCTTTCCTCTATTCCGCCATTATCAGATTAACCAGCCGAAATGACATTTTTTTATCATGTTATTCTCTTGATTAGAAACTCCATTAGTCCAAACGCCTCAGTTAATAGTAAAGATTAATTAAATATCTACCTCTAAAGTCTTATTTCTATTTATTTTTATCATTGGGTTTTCTAAAATCCTTTTTCTTTCTTTTTTTTTCAAAGCAAGCATGACTTGTCTTCCTCCTCATTCCATTCCCTCCAAGGACCCCGTTTCTAATGATTTTTCCTTCTAAATGCACTTAGATAATAAGTCACTTTTGATTTTTAAATTAAAGACATGCATAACTGTCAGCTAGAACTTCAGATCAGCATGAGAAAAGTCAAGCTTATTTAACTACAATAATATACTTTCATTCAAAGCAAAGCAAGTTAACTTTAGGTTCTAGTTGGACCGTGAATTCTTACGGAAGATGGGGAGCGGCATAAATGTATGATCTATGGAAGTGAAGTACAAAAATTCGCTTAGGATCCCTGTTACCCACCTTCTTGCCTCCCTGGGGGTGTGTTGGTCGCAGACTGGGAATCACATCCTGAATGAACTTTTTCCCAGCCAGGCTCATTTCCTGGTCCCACCTCTGTGCTTGTCCTCATGGCACTCCCTTTACATTTCTACATCCTATCTTTCCTTCAAAGGGCTCTTTACATTTCTATATCCTATCTTTCCTTCAAAGGGCCATTCAAGTTCCACCATCTCCCGGGAGTCATCTGCTGACATCCCCAGTCCACAGTAATCCTTCTATCCTCTGATTTTATGTATCACATTTTTTTGGTGCCATTAATTTGCACAGTTTCAAGCCTTGGATTGCTAGTTACCTTATGTCCTTACGGATTTGCTTCTACGTTGAATTTTAAACCCCTTGAGTGCAGGAAAAAAAACAAAAAGCCCCAAATCAAAACCATCTCTTTATTCCTCCTGGGAACTCCAAACAGTACCTAGAATTAGTAAATACCTGTCCATTTTTAATAATCATTCTAGTTTTTGAGGAATCATGACAAATGATTAAAATCAATTTTGATCAAATAATGCCCACTACAGCTCTCACCTACCTCGCCAGCAAGTCAATAAGTTCAAGTTTTGACATCCCATCAGGAAGCAGTCGAGGAATAGCAGCAACACAGGTCCTGAAAAGATCTATTTTTGGCTTTCTCTCACCCCTGGAATTTGAAGACAAAGTTTAAACGTAAGTCAAAGGTTATGAAAAAATTTTTTAAAATTGGCCAAATATGTGAACAAAGACTAAAATCAATGCCTTCTGAATCACTGCCTGGTGATGGCTCCCTATTATTCTTAAAGGTTTATGCCTTTTATAGCTTGGCCAGTTCTACGAGAACTTATGAAGATTTAAATGTTAGTTAGAGGTATGTATCTGGAAAGAAAAATGCCAATAGCAATAGCATTCTATTGCTATCATATGTCTTGCCATTCAGCTGGTTTCCATGGGGTTTGGTCCCTGTGGGCTGCATTTAAGACACTGAATTCACTGAATTGCCCAGACACATTAGTATGTAAGAAATACATTGCAGTCATTACTACCTTCAGCATTTAAAAATGGGATTTTAATGTATACAACTAATGGTGCCTTTAACAAGCATGACATCTGGAAGTTTCTCTCTCTGATGAGTTATGCTTCTCCTCTCAAGAGTGCCCACCCCTGATTTTTTTTTTAATTAAATGCTTCCAAAAATAAGTCTTGTCATAATGTCAAGTAAAATCCTGAAATGTATATAATTGTACACCCATTTCTGATTTTTAAAATTACTCTGATGGTCCTGACCTCTATGGAGATAGCTTCTTTTACTTTCTTGAGAATATGAATGTTTTAAAGGTAATTAATACCTTCGATATCCTGTTGTAAAATATGAAGGAAAAATATAAATTCAGTGACAAATTATTTCAATTTTTACTTATTTAAATAGATAACTGATTCTTAACCACATATTTATCAATAACCTTTATGGAAAAACTAAACTACACATCAAATCTTTCAAATAACTTGTGATATAATATAACAGCATATTTAAATTTCGATGATTTAGTCCCCTGAGAATAAATATAAAATTGGTACCAAATTAATGCAATCGTAGGACACAAACACAATAATGAAAATGCAAAGTAGCGTAGAAGTAATTCCTTCCTGGAACAGTAACTGTGTCAGAATAGAAATGTAACAGGCAGAATCCATGCTCTCTATAAACTAAAGACAATAATCAGACAGCAATTTTGCTCTGTGACATTACTTTTTAGCATGTGTTTTTAAGTTTGTTAGGAATAAATACGAAACTTTTTTGTATTTTGTGAAAAACAAAACACATATATGTTAATTTCTAAAATACTCTGTTCTTGTGGGAAGTCGTAAGATTATTTTCTCTCCTTTTCCATAGTCCTTTTGCATGGGACGTACAAGGACTTCAGAGAGGACTTCACTGTACCGTGGTTTCCAAGCAGCTGAAGGAAAGAGAAGTCTTCAAATGACATCCTCGATGGCTAGACAGAGTTAAAGCCTAGTGATCTGATTGTTCATGTGTGGCACAGAGTCTTTTAAATAGCTCTCCTAACATGCTCACCAGATGTCTTAAACAGCTGGGATAATTTTCGTATCTGTTGGAAAACAGATGACCCTGCCTGGCCTGAAGTGTAAGGAAAATTCTGCCAGCCAATAAAGCAGACTTACAGGACTGGCAGACTTCCCAGCTGATAAAGCAAGCCTAGATTAGAAACTCTAATTGGTGCATGGTTTCCGTTTACTGCAGCCCTGTGCCTGGGATTTTATAGGAAGCATCTGAGTCCCCCAAATAGCATAATTTTTATTAACAGATATTATATAATTATTATTTACAGTCATTATATTATTATACTTACTGCTACTATTATTATGATTATTTGCCAGCATAAAGCACAAAAGGGATGAGGAATGGAAACAGCAACACAGAATGCTTTATTTTCAAGTGCATACTCTAAGCAAGGCCTGGAAAAATGGTAGGCCAGCCTCAAGTATCAACTCCAATAACTATTTCCATTAGTGTGGTGTGGACCTCAACTCTCTTTTCCTAAATGCTTACATGATTCTTTAATGTTTCTCTTTGTTTTTTCTTTTTGTATTTAATATCCTTATTGGAGTATAATTGCTTTACAATGGTGTGTTAGCTTCTGCTTTATAACAAAGTGAGTCAGCTATACATATACATATACTCCCATATCTCCTCTTTCTTACATCTCCCGCCCACCCCCCCTATCCCACCCCTCTCGGTGGTCTTAAGCACGGAGCTGATCTCCCTGTGCTATGCGGCTGCTTCTCACTAGCTATCTATTTTACATTTGGTCATATATATAAATCCATGCCACTCTCTCACTTCGTGCCAGCTTACCCTTCCCCCTCCCCATGTCCTCAAGTCCATTCTCTATATCTGCGTCTTTATTCCTGTCCTGCCCCTAGGTTCTTCAGAACCACTTTTTTTAGATTCCATACATGTGTTAGCATATGGTGTTTGTCTCTTTCTGACTTACTTCACTCTGTATGACACTCTAGGTCCATTCACCTCTCTAAAAAGAACTCAATTTCGTTTCTTTTTATGGCTGAGTAATATTCCATTGCATATATGTGCCACATCTTCTTTATGCATTCATCTGTTGGTGGACACTTAGATTGCTTCCATGTCCTGGTTATTATAAATAGAGCTGCAATGAACACTATGGTACATGACTCTTTTTGAATTATGGTTTTCTCTGGATACATGCCCAATAGTGGGACCGCTGGGTCATATGGTAGTTCTATTTTTAGTTTTTTAAGGAACCTCCATAATGTTCTCCAGAGTGACTGTATCAATTTACATTCCCACCAACAGTGCAAGAGGGTTCCCTTTTCTCCACACCTTCTCCAGCATTTATTCTTTGTAGATTTTTTGATGATGGCCATTCTGACTGGTGTGAGGTGATACCTCATTGTAGTTTTGAATTGCATTTCTCTAATGATTAGTGATGCTGAGCATCCTTTTCATGTATTTCTTGGCAATCTGTATATCTAATTTGGAGAAATGTCTGTTTAGGTCTTCTGCCCATTTTTTTTTTTTTTTTTTTTGTGGTACGCGGGCCTCTCACTGCTGTGGCCTCTCCCGTTGCAGAGCACAGGCTCTGGACGCGCAGGCCCAGCCGCTCCATGGCATGGGGGATCCTCCCGGACTGGGGCACGAACCCACATCCCCTGCATCGGCAGGCGGACTCTCAACCACTGTGCCACCAGGGAAGCCCTCTGCCCATTTTTGGATTGAGTTTCTTTGTTTTTTTGATATTGAGCTGCCTGAGCTGCTTGTAAAGTTTGAATATTAATCCTTTGTCAGTTGCTTCATTTGCAAATATTTTCTCCCATTCTGAGGGTTCTCTATTGGTCTTGTTTATGGTTTCCTTTGCTGTGCAAAAGCTTTTAACTTTCATTAGGTCCCATTTGTTTATTTTTATTTCCATTTCTCTAGGACGTGGGTCAAAAAGGATCTTGCTGTGATTTATGTTATAGAGTGTTCTGCCTATGTTTTCCTCTAAGAGTTTTATAGTGTCTGGCCTTACATTTAGGTCTTCAATCGATTTTATTTTTGTGTATGGTGTTAGGAAGTGTTCTAATTTCACTCTTTTACATGTAGCTGTCTAGTTTTCCTAGTACCACTTATTGAAGAGGCTGTCTTTTCTCACTTGTATGTCCTTGCCTCCTTTATCAAAAATAAGGTGACCATATGTGCGTGGGTTTATCGCTGGGCTTTCTATCCTGTTCCATTGATCTATATTTCTGTTTTTGTGCCAGTACCATACTGTCTTGATTACTGTAGCTTTGTAGTATAGTCTGAAGTCCAGGAGCCTGATTCCTCCAGCTCCATTTTTCTTTCTCAAGATCAATTTGGCTATTTGGGGTCTTTTGTGTTTCCACACAAATTGTGAAATTTTTTATTCTACTTCTGTGAAAAATGCCATTGGTAGTTTGATAGGGATTGCAATGAATGTGTAGACTGCTTTGGGTATTACAGGCATTTTCAGAATGTTGATTCTTCCTATCCAAGAACACGGTATATCTCTCTATCTGTTTCTATCATCTTTAATTTCTTTTCATCAGTGTCTTACAGTTTTCTACATGCAGGTCTTTTGTCTCCTTAAGTAGGTTTATTCCTAGGTATTTTATTCTTTTTGTTGCAATGGTAAATGGGAGTGTTTCCTTAATTTCTCTTTCAGATTTTTCATCATTAGTGTATAGGAATGCAAGAGATTTCTGTGCATTAATTTTGTACCCTGCAACTTTACCAGATTCATTGATTAGCTCTAGTAGTTTTCTGGTGGCATCATTAGGATTCTCTATGTATAGTATCATGTCATTTGCAAACAGTGACAGTTTTACTTCTTCTTTTCTGATTTGGATTCCTTTTATTTCTTTTTATTCTCTGATTGCTGTGGCTAAAACTTCCAAAACTATGTTGAACAGTGTTGAGAGTTGGCAACCTTGTCTTGTTCCTGATCTTAGTGGAAATGGTTTCAGTTTTGCACCACTGAGAACGATGTTGGCTGTGGGTTTGTCATATATGGCCTTTATTATGTTGAGGTAAGTTCCCTCTATGCCTACTTTCTGGAGGGGTTTTATCATAAATGGGTGTTGAATTTTGTCAAAAGCTTTTTCTTCACCTATTGAGATGATCATATGGTTTTTATCCTTTAATTTGTTACTCTGGTGTATTACATTGATTGATATTTATATATTGAAGAATCCTTGCATTCCTGGGAAAAACCCCACTTGATCATGGTGTATGATCCTTTTAATGTGCTGATGGATTCTCTTTGCTAGTATTTTGTTAAGGATTTTTACATCTATGTTCATCAGTGATATTGGCCTGTAGTTTTCTTTCTTTATGACATCTTTGTGTGTTTTTGGTATCATGGTGATGGTGGCCTCATAGAATTAGTTTGGGAGTGTTCCCCCCTCTGCTATATTTTGGAAGAGTTTGAGAAGGATAGGTGTTAGTTGTTCAGTAAATGTTTGATAGAATTTGCCTGTGAAGCTATCTGGTCCTGGGCTTTTGTTTGTTGGAAGATTTTAAATCACAGTTTCAATTTCAGTGCTTCTGATTGGTATGTTCATATTTTGTATTTCTTCCTGGTTCAGTCTCAGAAGGTTGTGCTTTTC